GGTGGTGGAGGTGGCGGAGGTAATGGAGGTTGTGCTGGTGGTGGTGATGGAGGTGGTGGTGGAAAGAGAAGTGGTGGTGATGGTAATGGAGGTGGTGGTGGTACTGGAAGTGGTGGTGGTAATTGAGGTGGAGGGAGTGGTGGTAATGGAGGTGATGATGGTGGTGATGGAGGTGGTGGTGGTAATAAAAAGCTGTCATATTGGGGATGTGTTTTAGACGTGAAAACAACAGGCAAGCAGATGAATTAGAAGGGAGAAAAGGAGAGTACGTTTTTTAAATTTTTCGACCTGAGCAGCTAGAAGGATGGTATGCCACTTACATGGGCTGGCAGGGAACTTTGCAAGTGGCAGACAGGGTTATGAAAATGTTTGAGAAACGGGGCTGGTATATAGGGTAAACTAACAGAAAACAAGAGTCACACAATAGTCCCTAAAAACGTACTACCAGCCAAAGGTCATGCTACTTCTGCATTGGGCATAGAAGCATTACGGCCTATGGTCCTTCAGAATCTGGGAAAGGGAATGGTTTGGTTTAATGTAAAGTCTGGTCTCCCCACCAAGGAGAGAAGACCGATCTGAGGTGGTACTTACATGCTTTACATATCTTAACAGCTGCCCTTTTAATCAATTCCTTCCACAAGTCTCAGAGTCAAGCTGATTCCTACAGAAATCGTCAAAATGGGAGGAGTACCCTCCAAATTAGCCACCCCTCCTGCCCTCCCACACAGTGGTCTCTGGCCAGCTGGTGCCCTACCAGATTTAAAGAACTTTCCCTGGATATGAGGACCAGAATCTACTCGCTCACTGCTCAAGTATCTGAGGCACCAAAGTCCCATCTCAAGGGATTACCATAATCACAACAACATGTACACCCACAAAGATAACAGAAATACCCAAAGAGCCAATACCCACCTCGGTGAAGAAGCCTGCGATTCCAGCCTGGCAGGAGCCGTGTTCCTCCCCGTACTTCTTCTTATACTCTAGATGGGGAATGAAGGGAGGAGAAGCAAACCACAGAATGTCAGTCGTGTGTGGAGCGGCCGAAGGGAGCGAGGGCAAGTCTGCTGCTTATCCTGCCTGCTGCTGCAGGCTGAGCCCGGGGAGCCCTTCCAGACTGGGGTGTGGAAGGGAAGGCTCAGGAATCCACCAGACCTCAAAAATCCAGGCTCTGGTGTCACCGGGGAGCCAGACTGCCAAGTGCCCCAGCAAACTTCCTCGGCTCGTGCTGAGCACAGAGCAGTAGCTGCCCTGGTAATTAAGTAGGAGGTGGGTGACAATTACTTCATCTACTTCAGAAAGGTTGGGGATCCCTAACAGGACCAAGGAGCCGAAAACACAACCCAGAAACGGAATGATGTAGCCATCCCAGCATGCAATCCCCTGGAAAAAGACGAAAAACCCAAAATCCACTGCCATCGAGTCGATTCCAACTCATAGTGACCCTGTAGGACAGAGAAGAACTGCCCCATAGAGTTTCCAAGGCTGTAAATCTTCACAGGAGGAGACTGCCACATCCTTCTCCCATGGAAGAAGTCTAACTCTCCCAAAAAGACACTCCATGTAGCCGGAGACAATATGTTTCCTACATTCCACCAAAACCAAGCTTCGCTGCCCACGGGACACAGGGAGAGAGGACTCCCCTGGACTTGCTGTAGCAATGGCTGCACTATGAGATCTTCCCCTCTATCTTCCTCGTGTGGAAGAAAAATGGGGTGATCTCTCCAGGCCAAAAGAAAACTAATAAATAAGCTCTTTTCCTTCACCAGTTCCTCACTTCCCAACACTCCTCCTTGACACACTGGTCTGTTGCTGCTGTGTAATTTTTAAGTTGGCAATGTAGAGGGGAGGATTTTTGATAATCGTTGACCACGTTCCAGGCACTGTGCTAGCTGCTTCCATCCACATCATATCATCCATCCCTCATACTTGGGGACAGGTACCCCTCTTTGCTAGTAGGTAGCTCAGGAAGGTTACACAAGTAGCCCTAAACCAAACTCAAATCAAACCTGTTCCCATCAAGTCGATTCCAACTCATAGCGACCCTATAGGACAGAGTAGAACTGCCCCGCAGGGTTTCCAAGGAGCAGCTGGTGGATTCATACTGCCGACCTTTCGGTTGGCAGCCCAGCTCTTAACCACTGCGCCACCAAGGCTCCAAGTTGCCCAAGGCAGCTAATAAGTGGCAAAGTCAGGGTTCTACCCAAGCTCTTACTGAGAAACTCATATTCCTTCATCATCCCTCTGGCCCATCAAAGTGATCAGCTGTTTGAAATTACTTCATGGATTAAAGACACGGAGACGGAGAGACGTTCAGCTCAGGTAACTCACGTTAACTGCAGGTGCAATGAACACTGGTTGACCTTGAGCTTGGGGCACCAGCAGGCAGAGGCCAGTTAACAAGATAACCCAGTGACCCCCCGGGCCACCCCTGGGCTCTTGAAAAGCCTCTGCCACCACTGAAAGCAGGGTGATTATTTTTGAAACACAAAATAAATAACACAAAGGAGCAAGGAAGCTGTGATTGCAACCCAGAGCCACCTCCTGCAGCTCAGAGTGGCTATGTGAGGCAAAGGGGTGAAAGGGCTCCGGGGAAATAAGCAGGGTAACTGGCTTTCTAACAACACTCACGCAGAGCCTGGTAACATTTCCCAGTAAGCGGCCGTTGACCGGCTACTAAACTACAACTCAATGTCAATTGACTTATTCCCCTGCCTGTGAGAACTAAACCAGTTTCTCCCGCCCCGTCTTCTCACTGTCTGAACTCACAGCCCTGCCAGAAAGCAACTAGTGACAAACGAAACTCGCTTGTTCTGTGCAGGGGTGGATTCTCCAACAGGCAAGGTAAGCACAGTGCTTACCCTGCTTACCAGATCATCTGTAGCAAACAATTTCACATATTTTCACCACATCAAAGCTTCTGCTTCTAGCTGAGTGAAATAAGTCAATCACAAAAGGACAAATATTGTATGAGACCACTATTATAAAAACTCATGAAAAGGTTTACACACAAAAAGAAATCATCTTTGATGGTTATGAGGGAGGGGAGGGGTGGGGGTGAAAAAACCCTAAATGGACAATAGATAAGCGGTAACTCTGGTGAAGGCTAAGACAGTGCCCAATACCAGGGAAGCCAGCACAGCTTGTTCAGGGTAAGGTTACAGAAGGTCTGTGGACACATCCAAACTCCCTGAGGGATGGAATTACTGGGCTGAGGGCTGTGTGGACCATGGTCTCAGGGAACATCTAGTTCAACTGGCATAACATAGTTTATAAAGAACATGTTCTACATTCTACTTTGGTGAGTAGAGTCTGGGGTCTTAAAAGCCTATGAGCGGCCATCTAAGATACTCCACTGGTCTCACCCCTTCAGGAGCAAGGGAAAATAAAGAAACCTAAAGACACAAGGGAAAGATTAGTCCAAAGGACTAACGGACCACAACTACCACGACCTCCACCGGACTGAGTCCAGTACAACTAGATGGTACCCGGCTACCACCGCTGAGTGCTCTGACAGGGATCACAAAAGAGGGTTCTGGACAGAGCTGGAAAAAAATGTAGAACAAAATTCTAACTCACAAAAAGACCAGACTTAACTGACCTGACAGAGACATGGAGAAACCCCAAGAGTACGGCCCCCGGACACCCTTTTGGCTCATTCATGAAGTCACTCCAGAGGTTGACCTTTTAGCCAAAGATTAGATAGACCACAGCACAAAACGAGACTAAAGGGGCACACCAGCCCAGGGGCAAGGACTAGAAGGCAGAAGGGGACAAGAAAGCTGGTCAGAGGGAACCCAAGGTCGAGAAGGGAGAGTGCTGACATGTCATGGGGTTGTTAACCAATGTCAAACGATATGTACACTAACCATTTCACGAGAAGCTAGTTTGTTCCCTAAACCTCCAACTGAAGTACAATAAAAAAAAAAAAAAAAGAAATCCCATGATGCTTTGCACCAGGCAAATCTGCTCAAAAGATCTCTTCAAAGTGTTAAGAAGCAAAGGTGTCACTTCAAGGATGAAGGTGAACCTGACCCCCCCCAAAAAAGATTCTGCTTCTAGGTATGGCTGGCATCTGTCTCTCTCCCAACCCCATAGCACCTTCCTACAGAATTAAAGCCTCTTTTCAAATTCACAGTCCCTGACGGGGCAGATGACCCAGTCAGCAAGGTAAGCACAGGCTTACTTGTGCTTACTTACTAATCTGTACAGAACAATTTCACTACTGATTAGGAAATTGTTCACTACAGATTAGGAAGGAAGCCCATGCTTACCTGGCTTACTGGGTAATCCACCCCTGGTTCTGTGCAAAACCTCATACCAGGGGCTTGTGCAAAGTAGCAAATAAATCTTGCATCAAAGGCACAACGGTGAGAAGGATCAGAATGTCCCAACCTAAACAGCTACATTAAATATTAAACCTGGCAGTTTGTGGCAAAAAGCATATCCACCTCACTGACTGTTTGTTAACCACCCGATTGTAACTCTTGATAAAATGTGTGTACAAAGGAAATTCAGCCGCCATGAACCCCTGAAAGCACAGTGCAGAACACACCAGCTCTGCCTCATCAATTACGACATGAGTAGGAATTACATGGGGATCTTTCACCTTTAAAAACAAACGGTCTCAAGGTCTCTTTGTGGCAGGAACGCTAAGAATCATAGCTGTGGGAACCTCAGTGCCTTTCTCTACCTCATCCCCAAACTGTGCTCGCACACTCCATGCTAGGAGCAGGACCCACGGCTTCTGGGTAGTCACGCCATATTGGGAGCTGGGAGGGCCCCACTCCTGCCCTCAGACGAGTCCTACAAGGTGAAACCCTCCCTTCGCAAGTTCAGAGGCACCGCTGAGAGGCCAGTCCCCGTGTCCACAGGCTGGGGCTGTCCCCTCAGTGGTCTGAGGGCCAGGGACATACATGGAAGGAAGCACCATCCCACCGACTCTGGTGCTTCTGAAACCCCAGTGCAGTGCAGTGAATTACTTAATATGGCCCTTCTAGCCATTAGTCTTTATAACTCACACCAAATGACTGGGTGGGACTATGCAAATGAGGTGCTTGTGGCCCACCAAGGGGATTAGATAGCTTGTTAATAATGTAAATAAGGTGCATGGCACCCTTCTGGGAGTGGGACCACTAGGCTTGAAAATGAGCCATCTCAGAGGTGGGGAGAGGGGGCCTCAACTACCACCAAGAAAGAAGCACTAGGAGCAGAGTGCATCATTTGGACCAAGGATCCTTGTGCTGAGAATCTCCTAGACCCAGGAGACAAAGAGAGAGCTGTAACACCCGAGATGGTGAGAAATGGCGGCAGCAGAAGAACCAGGAGACCAGCAAGAGACAGCATGATGGGCTTCCCAGCCCATGGAGCAAGAAGGCTGAGCGTCTTCCGGCAGGACGCTTGCTGGCCGAGTGGGGTGCCTCCAGGCACTTGGTGGAGCTAGGCTCACAGACCCAGGGAGCGAGAGAACTGAGCGCTTTTGGGCAGGAGGCTTCCTGGCAGAGTGGGGTCCCTGAGCTTCCCAGTCTCTTCCATTTGGGCTTTCACCTGTCCTGACCTTCCACTCCGACCTCCTGCTTTCTGCCCACCTGTCAGGCTCCCTGAACTCCATCCCAACCCTGCTTGGAAAGGAGTTGTGCTGTGGGTCCCAGGAATCCTGGGTTCTAGGGCTGGTGGTGCCACTAACCACAGAGGTCTAAGAACATAGGTGTGTCAGAGCAGGGCAAAGACCCACGAGAAGCATAAAAAAAAACAACCAAAAAACCTTTTCCCGGGTTTTCCAAACCAAGCGCTGGCTGATCCTACCTTGGGCAACTCCATCCTCACTTGGGCCTCAGGAGCTGGGTAGAAAATTCAGATCCGTTTCTTCAATCCCTGGCCGTCCCCTAGCACGACCCTTCACTGCCTGTCCTTACAGACCTGTGAGGAGTCATGAATGGGACCACCACCCCAGGAGACCCAGGCCCACGAGGCTGCCGTGATG